CACAGTTGTGCTGGTGTGATTATGCTGCGTGTTTTTGTTACTGCCCATTGCAGTGGCTAGTGCACAGGCTGACCTTACAAAATATAGCTAAAGATTACTTGATATCCTCACTGAATTTTGAAGAACTTGGGAACTGTGATGGTGTGAGGAAGGCAACTGTCAGAATCCCCAATTGTGGCATTTCTGTAGATAAAAATAGAAAGAGAAAAAATACTGGAAGGTGCCCGGAGCTGCCTAAGCTTGCTGATGCAAAAATTTACAGTAACCTAGATTCTGTGGCAGTGTATAAAAGTAAAAATAATTTATAAATAAATCATTTTTTTTTAGGTGAAGATTCAGAACACATGCCTGGACAAAGAATAGCTGTCCAAGGCATTGGACAGCTGGTTGGCAGGAGACAACAGACTATCCATTTCCTATGTTTTTCTGAGCTTTGGTACTCTTGCTTTCTTCTTTGATTTCTTCTCTACCTCATCCATTACCTTTCTCTGTGAGCATCCAGCAGACTGGCCATAGTCATGACAGACCATGGTGTCCCTGTTTCTCTGAGGCAATTTTGGACGCTGCTTTGGAAAAGAAAAAAAAAAATCCTCTCCCACTGTTCATTTTTCTCAAGGTTATTTTTCAGTCATCTTAAAATTGTAATGGTCTCCTTCAACTTTCTCGTTGCCATAATGAAGTTCAATTACTGGAAAGTTCTGTCAGTTTAAGCACCAAAGCACCTCGGCCCCAAAGGCAACAGGCAATTCAGAGTCACCCTGATCTTACCCAGAATAACAAGCTGTGGCACCTCGACTCAAGGGGAAAGGCAGCTTTGTCACCATTTCTCACAGGCTCTGGTTGCAGGATTCATAGTTGACGTGGAGCCTCATGGTTGGGGAAAGCTGCTGCCAAGGCAAGTCCTGTCTCTTGGGAAGCTGTACTCCTTCAAGAGAGAATTTTTGTGATTACAGCTAAGGCTGTGATTTTAAGTGAGTTTCATTAAATTAATTCAGTTCACAAAACAGAATGAAACGTAGTTCGTGAACAGGTAAAATCTGTCAGGGCTTCAGTTTTACTATGAGGAGGTTTGAGGAGGTCACAGGACATTCGGCCTTATGACCAAATGTCATTTCAACACTGTCCCTTTTGGAGCAACGTTCTCTCCATTTTAGTCAAGAAAAGGCAGAATAAGCAGCCTGCAAAAGAGCCCATAGAAACATCCTACAGCTTCTGCAGCATTTTGCTCTGAAGCCCTATGACACCCTGTTAGTTCCAGCATCAAGAAGGGAAGGATAGCCTCGGTGTAGCTATTAGATCTTTCCTCCTGGTCAGAAATGAAAGTTGTTAATCACACAGAGGTGCATGTCTTCACTTGGGACTGAGAGTGAAATCTCTGAAGTTGTCACAGAGTGCTCAGGACCAAATTCAGTTTGCAAATCAGTCTGTAGTTCTGTTTTCTCTTGTAGGTTCAGATGGAAGCAGTGTTTGACAGGGAAGCTAATGGATGTGGTATCAGGAGAACTAACCCCCCAGTGAAAGCTAAATGGAAGYCACCCCTAATCCAAACTGCAGAGTTTTGCCTACCTTTATCCCTGGCCTTACCCGCAAGTGTCCCTGAATGCTGTCCTTCTGCCATCCTGTAAATGAGAAAGGTCGTTTCTGGCTCTCTCTCATTTAAAGTAGATGTAAATCTGGGATACACAGCACATACACAATTGCAGGAGAGAACCTAAAAGTTGGTTAAAAAAAAWAACCAACTACACCTGTCATTTAAGATGTATTTTAAGCTCTGTGAACTTGCACATGAGTAGTGATATGTTTTAACAGTATCAGTAGTTGACACAAAAGATGACAAAAACGGTACATTAATGTGTAGCAGAACTAAGCGTCTAGGGCCTTTAAGGGGAGGGCATGGACATTTCTTTAAGTGTGCAACTGCATTCCCAATGGATTAAGGGTGTAAAACGAAGCATGCTTGAGGAGCATGAACATACAGTTCCCAGACCTGTTGTGGCTGTGCCCGTGCAGGCTGGCAACTCTGTGCAGATGTGTTACATGTGCAAAACAGAGGCAAGATCTGTGAGGATTGGAGCTTCAAATCTTTCATGGGTGGGTTTGCATGGGTTTTGAACTGYTGTTTTTAAAAGCACTGCCAGTAGGGATAATCTATTCTGTTTCCCCCAGGTCTTTTTAAAATATTCCATACAGTCTTCAGATAAAATTCCATGATTGTGTCAGAAAGTAGATTCTTCTTTCTCACCACTAGCTTAGTGATCTAAAAGTTAGATGTTTGGTCTTAGTCATCTTGGAGGCCTGCGCTGATGGCAGTGCAAAGCTGTAGGGACAGTCCATTGGAAATTCAGAGGTACAAATATAGCCATTTAGTCACGTTTTCTGCTGGTGCTCATTTGTAGGCTCTTTCACCCAGATGTCTGTACTCTAAGCACCTAAGTTAGATGAGAAGTAGATATCTATGGTTTGCTAACGACAGATCTCGTGAGACACCTGCCCCAACTTTCTTCTGTGCAACTTCGCTTAAGTGCAGTGGCTGCACAGACTTCCTTGGAGCACTGAGGCCAATTCTGATTTCCTCCTCTTTTGTGAGACGTCCTGGCCAGATTGTGCTGGGTAGGTTTGTGGTTCTGGTGCAAAGYCCCCTTCTTGCAGGCTCGGTGAGGATCCTCCATACAGGGAAAGTGCTCAAGGTGTCCCATCCTCAGGGGATGCAACTCCTGGGGCCATCAGAGCTGGTGGACCCAGGACCCATAGACAGAGGGCCCATCCATGGCTTCCCCCCTCCCTGGGCTTGTCCAGGGGTGGTCAGAGTAGCTGGTGGGARCACACGGGAGGTGATGTGGCACCTGGATGTGGCCCCAGGGATGGCCAGTGTCATCCTCCTGCCCGCTGCCTCCCAGCTGGGTGAGCCAACAGCTCTCGGTGGAGTGTACCCTGCCAGCTCTCACACCCTCAGCGCCCTGCTTTGACTTTCAAGTGCCTCATTAGACATTTAGACATGAAGATCTTAAATCCTACTAGAGCTGTTAGGCAAAATTAATAAATGATTAGGTTATTGATCATCTGTAAATTCTGCCCTCTTTATCTTCCCCACTTCTTCCTATCCTCTGATGTTTTTAATTCTGGATCTAGTAATAATCTTAGTGTAAGCAATGTTTATCTGTCCAAAGGTGGCCACAGACTAAAAGACTGCTATGTGTAGCAAACAGCAGAGCGCTGAGCACTGCAGGGAACTTTGCTGTGCATAAAAAAAAAATAAAAAATAAAAATAAAATGAAGCTTATACCCAGATTTGTGACCCTGGACACTTGAAGGCCCTCTTTTGTGGTCTATTAGCTCTTTAAAATTTTCTTCCTGAAAATTTTTGCATGTGTCCAGTTCATCTTACTGGGTGCTCAAAACGCACAAGCTGAAGATGGAGAGTCTTCAATATTTGGGAAATGGTCCCAAGATCATTCTTTTGTTGAGTGCTGCTGAACTTGGAGGGGGCAGCACGAGGCATGAGAGAGTTGCAGGGAGCTCTCACCATACAGTTTCCATTGACACCCAGTTGCTCGTGATGCCATCAACCATTTTTTGTACAGGGGACGAAGGACTGTGTTGTCCCAGGGAATTACAGTAAAATGATGCACTAGTCTAAAACAAAAGAGCTATTATTTAAAGATAAATGAATTTCATTTAATTAACAGACATAGATAGAGCACAAAGGAGTCCTCCACCTGTCAGTCCCAAACCATAGCATGGGATCCTATAGCTGCTACTGTGGGGTGGGCAGCACCGCTACCAGGAGGCTCCTCGTGGCCCTTGGTACCAGTGATGCTGTTAATGGTGCTCATCACTGGGGTCCACACATGTGCCCCTTGCTGTGTTTTGAAGTTTTTGAAGATGTGCCTTAAAACCTGAGTGTAAACTGCTTCCCCAGGGATGTTTTAAAATCCAAAGATTTTAGGTGCTCAGACGGTGCCTGGGTGGGGTGCCCCTGCTAGGGGGCCCTCTCTTGAAAATGCCCTCAGTTTGCAAAATAAAACAAAACTTCCTGGGTATCCTAAGTTTTCTATTTCAAAGCCTTTTTTTTCCTTTTATACTGCCCAGATTTAGAGCCTGATAGAAACCTCTCAAGTGGGAAAAGTGCAGAATCTCAAAACAGAAGCATAAGAGTTTTTCTTGGGTATAAAATTTTAGTCAATAATGTGCTGATGCCTTATTGACATGAAAAGAATACCTTTCATGTGATAACAAACATTTACTTGCTACTGCTTACTCTACTCACCTTGTACAGAAATGCTGATTGCTACTGACTAATCAGTCCATTTTTGTATATTCTCATCAGACTCTTTCTTTGGCTGGAACAATATGCACTGTATGATGCTTGCATGTCTAATAATTTATTATTAGCACTTTGTATATGCCTTTGTTACTTCACAACTAACAGTTTGGCCTCTAAGTGCATGCATTTGTGTAAATTACTATGTTGTTATAGAGTAATAGATTTATTTGCTATGTTTGTATCAATATATGAGATGTGTAAGATATATACAAAGACACTGATAACTGTCATTTATTCATCCACTGGCAGAAGACATTGTTCAGTTTATGTTTATATGATTACTGTTTCTACTTAGCCTTCATGATGCCATGTCTATCTTTCAGTTCTCTATTTACTCTATCGCAGATTTGATTTGTTAATTTTATAGTGATTAGTGGTAGTACTCTGTAAAGCATCTTAAGAAATCATTTATTTTGCAATACAGTTCTGTTAAGAGGTAGGAAATTTTARTTTTTCTTCCAGAGCTCCTGAAAGCCATAAATATTTATTTATTAATATTTATAGTCATGAAATTTTAGACTGCTGATCTATCAAGTTTTACTCCCTCCTGATATTGAAGTAATGATAAACTTTAGTAAACACTTGGTTCTGAACCAAGCTTCAGATAATGGCAGTTGCTGTTGCAATGTGAGACCCCAAAGACATCACATTTATTYTGTGTGTTTCAACATCTCAGGACGCTTTCTCCTGCAAAGTCTCCTTCTTCATCCACTGGATCTATTGCTTCCAGCAGAAAATATCCTTACCCAATGCCACCACTTCCTGACGAGGAGAAGAAAGCCAACAGGCAAAGTGCCAGGGTAAGTGTGTGCTTGGTCATTGACTTGATTTACTGGTAGTTTATCAAGAGGAAAACATGACAGTTGAATATCTTTGAGTAACACTGGGARTCTTTGAGTACCATAAGCTTTTCCTTTGGATCTCCAGCTCTGGAGGTTGCTACAGGCTGAGCCTCTGGCACAGAGCCTAGCTGTGCGTGGCTGTGTCTGCAGTTGTCTGCTATGGTTGCTCTCAAAACTGGTTACCCTCCAGCATTACCTAAAGGTAGATCACTTGCAGTTAAGTAAGACATGGTGGAGCTGCATGGCAATGTTAGCCTTTGATTTCTTTGTATCAAGTCAATGTGGCTCTACCAGATACTTTAGTAACCACAAAAATCACTGAAATTCACTTTTGGGGTTTCAACAAGCCTCATTCCCAGTTAATCTGCTGACTCGGGACTCTGAAGAGATGCCCGTGCTAGGCTTGGGTGAGAGCAGCCTGCCTGTCACTTGTGACCAGGACAAAGTAGACAACAAGTTCATAGCACTGTCACGGTGACAGCCTGTTTTTGCCTTTGCTGATGTGTGTTTGTATTGTTTTTTTTTTTCCCTTTCCAGCTCTGGGAAACTTCCATTTAGCTCTGCTGGTTCCTGGGCCAGAACTGTTTCCTGCAGGTTTTGTAGGAACTCGGCCTCACTGAGTCGTTGCACATTCATCTGATCTTGAGACAACTTGAAAGATCCACAGAGACGCCAGTGATCGTGGTGACAACCTCCTCTCATTTGGAAGGGAAAAGGCAGTCCTTTTTTTTTTGACTAGGATTTTATGAATTCGATGTAAAGAACAACCAAAATGATAACAATTAACAGGGGATAATTAGACTGGATGTGACCTGGCTCTTCCGCATGATGACAAATACACTTATATAGCGTTACAGCTGCAGTCAATTTGCAAGTCCCAAGTAAYAGAGGTTTTCCTTTGGTTTAATGCAGTTCCACGTTAGAGTAAACCGGAATTGGGAAGGAGCGCTCTGAAGAACGCAGCCGGTGTAAACATGTTCGCTGTATGCATGAACCTTGTGTTCTTTACTTTCCACAWGTAAGGGAAAAACAACATACCGTAGTAGAAATTAGCATGCAGGAGTAAGAAATATAGGATTTTTGTGACAGGATCTCAAGCTTTGAAAGGCAAATATTTTACATAAACTTCAAACAAACAAGGGTTATTTTGTTTTTTTTTTACCTTACGTGTTTATAATCTCAATTATACAGATTGTATATATGTAAACATTTGATAATGTCAAAAATCACTGTTACACATAAGTATATTTTGCCAAATGCCTAAAGAAACAGTCATGACTAACATCATCACACTTCAAATTTTTTAATGTTATGAGCAGACAACTTTGGAAATACAGAAGATACAGTACTGTAAAAATGCGTCTCTCAGAAACTGGTGTTTGACCAAAATCTGCGCTATCTTTTAAACAACYGACAATCTCAATTGTATTGTAGAAAGCAGAAATCAGAGTGCAGTGACACTGTGTCTTAGATCATCATCAAAAGAACCAGCCAAAATACATTACTCGCTGATGACCAGTGTATCCTCATGCAGCTGTAACCGTRACTAGTTCTGCAGACCACAGAGAACGAGTGTTTTAACTAATGTTGAGTACAAACTGGAAGGTTGGGAATGCTGCTGGGCAGTCAGTGCAGGCTGTGGTGACCTCATTTTGGTGACATTTACTGTTTGTATTTGGTAAAGCATTTGAGACACTGCTTTAGATGGCAAGGTGTAGCTTATGAGAGGCAAAATGATTTCACTACATAGATAATAAAAATGCCGGGCAAGTTTCGTTACTGTTTTTATTTTGTATGTGTTACTGGAATCTCCTTTATCATGTTTTACAATACTATGCTACCTGTCCCTGTAATCCCTTTTACAATTTGTTTGGGCCTTAAGCTCAGTACTAGTGAGCTTAGCCCCCTCTGCCCTCACAAAAATCCTGGAAAAAAAATCCTGGAAACAAAATGGCCTTTTCCATGGAAATGTTGGTTTTGTGCATAGACAGGTGGTGATCGTCTGACTGCCAGTGTTAAGGCCTGAAAGATATTTTGTTCTGAGGTTTCTAGTACCCAAGACTTCTAAAGGATATCGTAAAATAAATGTGGTCATTTGATAGAAAATTTTTGTTCAGCAAGAAAAACGGGCCATACTAAATCAGTTTGTAACTCTCCATCTCTCCAAAAGCAACAAATTCGTAGCCTCAGGTAGTAACGTTACAGAATAAACCTTCTGTGTCTGTAAGGTGCGGTAGAATACCTTGTCCAATAGCCGTATGAACAATTAGATATTACTATGACAGGAGCATCCAAGGTGTTTCTGGAGTCTTCTACCTCTTTCATGTATTTCCTTTAGTAAGTGGACACAACACTTGCAGCCTTTTAATATTTTTTTTTAACTTTTACGTCTCTCAATAAAGTTGAATATATATAAGGTTAAATTAAGAAATTTTTACAGATGTCAGCAGCTGTAAAGTGTGTAAGATTTTTAGAAGCGCTATATTTTATGGTTAGACTGTGTGCTAGATTATAACAAAATACAGGCCTTGAAGTTGAAACCATTTCCTTCACAGTCACAAGGTTCTGGTAAGTATTAGGGAGATACAAATGAGCAAGGGTAGCGTATGYAGACAGGCTCTCTGCAGGGAGCTTGTCACTTCTTATTGCTTTAGGAAAAGCCCTCTTCACTTTTGTGAAGAGTAAATGTCTTGTAAGCACTGAAGAATATTTTTTTGCAGAGATTTACTTTGAATGTAGGTAGCTGGATTAAAGATGGTTGATAGTATATAGGTCATGAAATTAGGGCCTGACCAAGAATCACTTGAAGTCAATATGCATCTTTTATTGATTTCACTGGGCTTTGAACTGGACCCTCAAACAGTTCACCCAAATTAGGAAGTTTAACCTGATAGTCTCCATGTTGCTCTCCCACCTGGAAGCTATTTTTTCCTTCYGTATTAATGTCTTGTCCTTAGCAACCAGACTGTTTATCACGTGCCTTTTATGATACTTTGTTTGAACACAGATTAGTCTGTAATTATGAATAATCCTGTTAAATTTTTGTGGGTGTTTCATGCTCACCATCGTTTACTCTTCCCCTTCCCTTTTTCCCTTGTCAAGAAGCAGCAGGATTTGGCAGGCAGAGCTGAGTGTAACACACTGGCTGTTTATGTCATGTTCATAGCTCCTTGTTTTGCAAACACGTTCCTGATGGTATTTTCCATGTACTATGTACTTACAGCTTCTCCCTTGTTTTGGTAGCATTCATCTCTAGCATTTGTTGATACAGGTATGTGCATCTATTTTTAACAGACACTTTCACTTTGGAGCGATGCAGTGACTGGGCATCTAGTGAATGCTAACTTCAAATTAAATAGATATTGACTTGCACTTGATTAGGGTCGAGTGGGAACATGATGAAACTGTCTTTTGCAAAACTGTTCTGCAGGGAATTTTGCACTGCGTGGGTAACTTGGAGACATTAAGTTGTTGCACAAAACCTGTACGTGTAGGGCTCTATGAGCATCTAGAGTCAGTGGAGGTCAGAGAGAGAAGTTAGTGGTTATATTCTGTGGTTTTCCACTTTTAAAATGTAGTGTGTTTGACAACTGCCAGATTAGTAACTCTGGAGATTTCAAATATTTTTTATTTAACCAGAGTAGTTACAGTTACACTGGCAATAGCAATATTTTAATATTGCCGCATAATACCTCATCCGGCCTCAAACGATGTGCTTGTGTCRTCAGTAAGGTAGTTCAGTCATGCTGACTCAGGCCCATTCCAAGTTTCATTTGCTGGCTTTGATTTTTCTCTTCCCACAGTAATAAATGAGCTAGCCTGTGCCAGCTATGTTGTAGATATCTGTTAAATGGGGACATCATCACTTCACCTCCAACACATTATAAGTAGTTGTCCTTATTAGCATAGGGCTTAGAGGGTGATCTATACTTAACTACATTATTCTTAYATATTTCAGCATGTGGGAGAAGAATCTTGTATAATTTAAAATAAAATTAATAAGATTAACTGRTCAAGTCAAAAAATAGAGATAATATTCAAATAATAATGCTGCAGTGTGATACCATCATTTTACAATGCAAAGTTTACCTGCTTAGTCTGGATTTGTTAAGAACTTCAGTAATCCACGCTGTAAACTTTTGATGAATATATTTAGGCAGTATACCAGAAATGGATGTGATTGATAATTTACATGTAAATTTGTTATACTATTGTTATAATATAAATAGTTTTAGTTTTTAAAGAGGTCGTTCATTACTATATAGCATATCTTTATATAAGTTGTGAACTTATAAGTCACTACTTGCCAGTTATGTGATTTGAGATGTGACATATGTCTTTAAAGATAGCTACGTATAAATGATTTCAGAATTTTGTTCCTGATTTATGAAATCTTGAACCTGCTAAGCTGATGCACTTCCTGAGTAGTTTAGATTGTGCTAACGATCCAATGAGTGGTTGATATAGCCAGAATTAAAATAAGGAAACAGACTGTGTCAACAGCTAATATGTACCCAAGTCCTCCTATCTGAATCACCCTTGCTGATTTAAAATGAACTGAATTGTCCTGTCAACATAAATGCAATGACTGTTTTCAAACTAGGGCCAAGGATAGCTGCATATGYGTTGACAAGTATGCATCTACTCTCACCAAGTTTGCAATCATTTCACTGCTTAGTCTCGTGGATGTACACAGTGTAATCAAGGACCCACCACGTTATGAGAACACATGATGTTTGCCCTTGCCAACAATGTCAAGTGAAACACCTGAGAGACTCTGCAGTCAGGTAGGGTAACAGGTTGTTGTTAGGGCTTGCTTGGTCACTGAGCCCCATACCTGCTGTTTTAAACAAACTTATCGAACTCTAACTTAAAAMCAGGCAAGCTCCTCATCTTTTTCTTTCCATCTCACTGCCCACTCCTCCTCCCTGGAAATCACGTCCATCAAGGATAGTTACATCTACTAGGAGCCTTGTGCGTTTGTTGGACAAGCAACTGAGAAGATGCTGCAAAGGTGGGAACCTTTCCTCATGATATCCTGGATAAAGTCTTTCTGGTGCTCTTTATGGCACTGCAAATGTATTTCTTGCTCTTGCTAGAGTGACAGACTATAGCCCCATGGCTCATTTGTAGTTTGAGGTGATTCAACATTTGGTGTCTCATTCATTCTGGGTCTTTCTCATCCTCTGCCTTTTTCAAAGGATGAGTCTTTTTAGTCACCAGTCTCTTACCTAGGAGCAGTACCATGTCCTCCTTTTTCTCCTATTCCAAATCTCAAGATCACCCATTTTTTCCAGTGAGCTATTTCAGTATTCACTAGCGAACTCTTTGAAGCCACCCTTAGCAACCACAGTGTGAGGTGGTAACTTCTCTTATAAGAGCTTGAGCTCTCTGCTTCTCTGAAGCCATCTTTTCGGCCTGGAATAGGTTCTCCACCTGACTGCTGATGCTCCGCTGTTTGCAAGGCTTCCAGAGCCCGTGACATCTCTTGGGTAGTATGAGATTGGGCTTCCCTTCTGGCTTTTTCCTGAAGACAAGGATGAGTAAATGGCACATGGATGTGCGGTTTRTTGTCCTGGGATTGCGTGACGGAGAAGCCTTCCTGTGTGGACCTAACTGTTAGGCTAGTAGATCAGGAAAGATGAAAACAGTGAACTGATTGTGAAGACATAGTTGCAATATAAAAAAGACTCTCATGGTATGCTGAGAAATCAAGTAATACCTGCTGGTCCGTCTACACTCCAGAGTTCCCTTGAGCTGAGTATATTCCAAATTAGTCAATGAAGAATATTTTTGGCAACTCAAGTATGGATGCTGAGATAAAGTAAAGGTTTGAAAAGAAGTCCCTCTCACAGCCAGCAGGTCATATCTTCTCTTTCCAAAACCATTTTCTTCAGCTATTTAGGAAAAAATAAAGAAAAGAAAATGTAAAAAAAAATGCTATATTAGTCAACATCAATATGGTATCTGAGACAAGTAACCAAAGCAAGCAGTGAAATAAGCTCAGAGCATGGGAAGGTGTTTGGTCRCTCACACTGAGATCTTTAGAATGGGCTCACCTGGCCAGGCCTGGTGTTTGTAAATCTCAAATCACATCATCCATCATCTACGCCAGTTCCAGAATCACTTTAGCTGATCCAACTTTACACTGTTCAGAAAATCTCTGCTACATAGACAGGCCCTAATTACAATATTACTCAGAATGGGATGAGGAAGATTGGGGAAAATAAGATGAGAAAAGCAGTTAGAAACATATACTCTAAAGGTAGAAGATGTCTTAAAATATTTTTAATTATTAAAGCATAAAATTTCAAAGCAACAAACTATTTTTTCTGTTTGATTCTCTATTCCTCTGATTAAAAAAATGAAAGTTTTGATTAAAAAAAAGAATAACTTGAGGCCTTAAGACCTTATATATTCTAACTTTAGCATGCAGAGTCTATTTTTACAACTGAATTAGAAATTCCTGTATATAGGCCTGACTGACCTTGTAAGTAGAGTGGTGCTAGCAGCTGATCATGCAATATTGTAAGGCTCTGTATAACAGTAAATGCTGATTTATTTTGATTATTGGTACAAGAACTCCTGCTCACTGCCTGTGTAGAGAATCTGCATATTTTATGCTTGGAAATACAGTCCAGAACATATTCAAACTGTGAATATATAACCTGATTTCTTAAGGGTAAAGATATATTACAATATGTAGTGTTTTATATAGAATACAATACTTATTTTTATTGTTGCATAAATGCAAAATATTTTTTTCAGAATAGCAAAGCATTACAGAATTTTTAATCTGCTGGAGAAAAAAACACTTATTTGCAGTACAAGCAGTTCTTTCAGCAAAGCTTTTGGGGYGGTAAATACCAATTGGCTCTGCCAGCTTCACTTTGTGCTAATGTTGATCTTGGGCATTGCTGTAAGAAAAGGCTATTTTTTCACTGATGCTAGCCCTTGTTGGTAAGATGTGAAGTATGGAGAATCTGGTTTCACCACCGGGACTGGGCTAATGTTAGCAAAAACAACCAATCTGCAGCATATTGTTGTCTTTGCTAGTTAAACCCCTTTAAAAACTCTTACGTGACATAATAGAAACAAAAGGTTTTGACAAACACCAAAATGAAGCATTGCAATTTCCAACTTTGTAGCTTTGAGTGTGATATTTTTGTCATAAACATTACAGGCATTGGGCTGTTGAAGTGAATGAATCTGGCTTTCATGTAGCTAAACAAAACATTGCTTTTTATAAAATCATTGTAATTTGGGGTTCCAAATTCCTGCTCACTTTTAATAACAGCATCACAGTATCCACTTCTATGAGAATATTTAATACAAATGCCTGTGGTTTTCAATGTTACTAACATATTGTAACATCAGTAAAGTGACTTTCAATGATAAAGACTCATGTGTGTTTTGTTCTTGGAAGTCTGTCTTTCCATTTAGCAATKCTATACCCTGTTGTAAAGTTCCCTTTAAAAAGCAACACTGAATGTATGGGAGGAAACGATAATGGCTGGTTAAAGAATTCAGAAAATGGTTCTGTGAGCTCCTTAAGCTTTGGCTTAAGTTGCCACTGTTATAAACATGGCATTATTGTTCTTCAGGTTCACACATTTGAGGGCAACCTAGAAAAATGTGTGACTACTTCTTCCACTTAATAGGAACCCAAACATCTATTCCTGTCAACTATAACCTAGCATTGCATAAAACCAAGTCTGTGGCAACAAAACTATTCCCAAATTGCATGGAAATCAAGAGCAATCACCCAGATGCCTCTGGAAAAAGAGATACTCCTAAGTCTTCACTTAGAAATAACTGTGTTGCTCTAAAGCAAGTAGCCTGTGTCTTCAGCTCCYTTGCTGAGTGTCTATAAATACCTCCAGGGAGGGGTGAGGAGGATGGGGCCAGTCTCTTTACCGTGGTGGCCACTGACAGGGGTAGAGGGAATGGCCACAAACTGAAGCACCAGAAGTTCCCCAGGAACTTAAGGAAAAAATTCTTTCCCGTGAGGGTGACGGAGTCCTGGCACAGGCTGCTCAGAGAGGTTGTGGAGTCTCCTTCTCTGGAGATCTTCCAAACCCACTCGGATGCCACCCTGTGCTCTGGGTGTCCCTGCGTGTGCAGYAGGATTGAACTAGATGATGTCTAAAGGTCCCTTCCAACCTTAAGGATTGAGTAACAGGTAAATCAATTTTGCAGTTTTCATGGGGTTTTTTTAAGTAATATGACCCGCTTTTTACTTTCCCTTCCACAGACAGCTCCTAGGCTCCTAGGCAGCAGTGGGCCTCTACCAAAAGTGTCCCAAAGCACTCTGATAAGCATATAATTCTTCTGGCAGCATGATGAGTAAAGCTAGCCAAAAATCATATATCATTGACCATGTATCAGGCAGAAGTAATGAGAATTAACCAACATTCAAGGAGTTTATTTCTTTCAAACAACCAGCTCCATATATTTATGTTGCTCCCTCTGCCAATCTTCCCTTGCAAAGAAAATACCTTATTTCTACTATAAATTTGCTACTCCGTAGCCACCCTTCTGTAAGGTGCTGAGGAAGTAATTACATGTTGTGACATGAAATAGAGGGGCAAGAGTTTAATCAAAGGGCAGGGTGGTCTTTATACAAAGGCAGGAAGAATACTTGTAAATTAATATTTTATCTTTTTAAGATGTAAATGYGCCCTGACAGATTCAATGTTCGTCATTGAATGGGACTTTTATATATTAACTGCGAGTAGTTTTTAAAACATTTACAAGCGTCTCATGTACAGTCACAAGGAAAATGATGATTTTTCTGAATTAAAAGCAGTGCAAACAAGATTGGTCCTATGCAATGCAATACATCCCTGCTTTAATGGCATKTGAAAGAAGTTTTAATAAGGCCTATTTAGACTTAGTGCCTGTTACCATTGACTTCATCCCCCAACTGCCTACCTGTCAAAACAAGCAATTTTAATCTAATTACATGATCGAGTAGATCACAGTAAAACAATGACCGCAAAAGGTGATTAGCTCTTTTTGTACATCTGCCTTATACTGTCAAAGACAGAAGAATATGTATCATCTTATATATCATCATCCACACAATAYTGCTCAAGTGAGAAGGTGAATCATAAGTTTTTGGTGAATCATACAAAGTTTTAAGTAAATACATTACAGAAAAAATTACTGTCTACATAATTTGAGTTATACAGAGAGACAAGTTTGTGTAAAATAAAAATATCTTTAATAATCAAAGGTTGAAAGTTAAAGCTGACAGTACATTATTAGTTCATATCCATTACTGAAGTTACAGGCAAGCACATCAGTAACATTATAAAATTAGCAAGTTACAGTTTTAAGATACACAATCATGGTAACTTTTGGCAAAGCACAAGACAAACTGGAATGGTCCTCATGAGCATCCACGGCTTCTGCTGAAGCTTCTTTTGACTTAGATGCCCATCACACACTGTATGAACTGAAAAAACAAACAGCAACAACAACATACATTAGATGTATGGTACAAAGTAAATTTTTTGTTTTCTCCTACAAGACTTGTCACTACTGTTCTTATAATGTTGTGCAGTCCCTAAGAAACAAAAGCATTAAAGCTAAGCAGGAAAATGAGCTAATAGTTAACTTAAAACAAAGCACTTCCTTAATAAGGACAAATAAACCCAGGCACAACTTGATCTTACTGTTCTCCTTTTCTCATCCAGGTGCAGGGAGGAAGCCAAGCCCTATCCACCCGATGGATGAGGCCTCCCCTCTCCCCCCACCAAAAGCCACTTGGAAGTGTGTGTCTGTGTGGGCAGGGGTGGAGGTGCCAGGGAGGCTGGGGCTGAAGAGCAGTGTGGCTCCCTAGATCTTCTCAAAGCCTGGGCAAAAGGCACAGTGAAATTTAAATAAACCTCTGCAAAACGTGTAAAAACTTTGCAAGAGATTTGGCTCCAATTCTTCTACCTAGCTCATCTCCAAAAGAAAAGATGATTGAAATCAAAGCCAGGATCTTCAGGCTCTCAAGTAGGACGACAATAGTAGGCAATGTAAACATGAAGTAAAGTCATTACTACTTTCCTTCAGTTTTAGTTTTTAGTTTTCCTTCAGTTTTACCTTRAGTTTAAATTAGATTCCTTAGAGTTCACTTACGTCATCATACTGGAAGTTCACAAAACCTTGCTGAGATACATCCCTCATTCTAAAACAGTCTGCAAAAATGTATTTAAAAACAAACACAGAAATCAGTATGAAGAATTACACTTAATCTTCCCTTTTAAAAGTGTATTGTACTTCCATTTAAGACACATCCCTGCTGCAAGTTGTCTTTTGTAAGATCAGAAGTCTAGCCCACAGCTTCTGTTACTCCTCACAATTACAACCATTTCATGCCAATTTCTCACCTGAATTTCATTCCAAAGTAAAACAAAAGGTTCAGTGTTCCAGAGAGAAACCAAAGGTAGAATTAGGGCAGAGCAAAATGGAGGCAAGGAACTAAAGCAGAATCACTTGGATGACACCTCATGAAGAGCACTACAATTCATTCCAAGACTTAATTTTCAGGTCTTAATCTTTATATTTATCACAAACATCTTCCTATTTATCACTTAACATTAACAATGTCGGTTTCATCCTTTATGTTCTGTAAAAAAGCTGTTTGTAAATAAACTGTTTCCCAATTTTGAAAGCTTTTTCTAGTCTCTAAAATAAACCCTATTGTTAATTTTAAGTCTCTTTTTCACATTTTCCCCCTCTTTTTCAATAGGGACTTTTCAGTGGGTAGGTGCTGTTATTGTAGCAGCTCTGCCTGGGCGCTTCATCGGAAGAGACCTGTTTTGTGTTACAGAAGAGTTAAAGCTGAACCTGAAAGCCGAGTAATCCTCGGCAGTCAGATTTTGTTACACCTAAATCTATTATGGAAGTGCCATTAGGAAGGCTGCAGGGAACACACCTGTGAGAGCTCGGAGCTTGACACAGCAGGCGATGTAGTCATCGAAGGCGATCCTTCCATGGGTGCTGTATCGCCTCGCGATGGCCGTCACTGCCGCCGGGCTCAACCGAAACCCTACGGAAAAGGGGAAAAAAGCCCACATGGAAATGGCAGGTAAGCTGGCACAATCTACCAGCAGTCCTTGCTGGAAATCCGCGACAGTTACAGCAGGACTTGGGTGCTGGRGAAGGCTGAGAGTCAGCATCAGTGTTAAAATGAAGGAAGTGTCACAACTCACCCATGCTTGTCAAGGCTTTCTCCAGCTCGTGACGATCCACCGAGCCGCTTCTGTCGCTGTCGAAGGTCATGAAGTGCTGCATCCAGCCGTTGATCACGGCCCACAGTTCCTTAAACTCAGTAAATCCCATTGAGCCAGACCTATCTTTCTGATTCCAAAGCTAAGAAAAAGTTGCTTCGTGCCCCAAATTAAAGACACCTCTGTTTAATGGAAATTAGTGTTTTATTATCATCTATGGTTCATAACACTTGAAGTCTGGSAAACAAGAGATACCCTGGCGCTACTATCTATATTTTATTGTTATTATTTCTTCTCACATAAAACAGCATCCCACAGCACAGACAGACAATATTTCTGGCCAAAGGCCACAGAAATCACTCGCTCTCTCCACTTTTTCCTCAGGGAGGCATTAAGAAACTATTTGCTCCTTACGAATGTAACCTTGCTGGCTATCCCCTCTTCACTCCCTGTAGTGCAGTTTATTCCATATACATATACGTTATTGACAACAAAACAGGTGCCTGATAACCGATACTGTCCTAACTTAATATTTCTCTGTTATTCTAAGCAGGTTGCTCACAGCCCTTGCAGTTTCATTTCTTTTAAAATRGAAAACCATTTGACTGTTACAACATAAGTTTTAACTAGAAGCCTTCCAAGCTTCTAAGTTCATCCCAGGTATCCCAGCCTTCCACAGGCACCACTGCTGATTGCCCCTGAGGCTCCTGTGCCCGACTCGTGCAAGAAGGAGTTTAGGAGGCCTTGGGTTACATACAGCCTGTGCACAGAGGCTTAAATTCATTAGGACATCTACAGTGGTGGCTATTTTAAAAGCACAATGAGTGATTCACACAAACCTCAGTTCTGAGCAGCCAGAGCTAAATCTTTACACATTCAATGGAGAAACAGTCCCCAAGACTCGGAGACTCAACGTGTGTTATAAAAAGTCATTACTATTATTACTTAATCTTCTAAACAGAAGAAAGGAACTTGCTGCTCACATTCACACCTGATTATAATACATATGAACTACGGTCTGAATGGGAATTACAAAGCATTTCCCTGCTTTCACACAGAAGACTCTTATCTTTGTTCGGGTAATGTAAAAGTGTTTGCATTTCATAGTAAAGGATACATCCAGCATCGAGATCATGAGTCTGCAAGTCTCCAAGTTGAAAGCTATTTGAATTAGAAAAATCAAAAATGACAGCAGTACYAAGAGTCATTTTCAATATTATATAAAAACTGATATATTTATATAATATCCTAAATACTTGTTTCAACTATATATAGCCATACCACGTTTTGATCCAAGTAAAAAGCTTACAATTATGACATGTCAAAGTACATAATCACCTAATATGGCTTTTTAAAAAAAAAATATTAATGTGCTCTTAACTTAATGCATACAGGTTTTGGRTTTCAATTGAAACTGGTTATTTTTGTTTCACCAGAGATCACTTGAGCAAACCAGCTTTACTTTCAGAAACACTTTAAAGAGCTGCCTGCCTATTACAAAACCAACCACCTCTCCCGATCAGCAATGGGGAGCTGACCAGGTGGAGAAGCGAAGCTTTAAACGCACAAAGATTTTACATTTGAGCAGTTCACACGTCGAGAAAGTCCCTCTTCAAAATAAACAAATAAAAACACCCACTATACAAAAAACGTTTTTCAAAAACCACTGTGCACAACCACAAATGTTTTCTAGTAGACAGCAGTAAATGTAGTAATAGGAATAGCCATTCTTGAGGGTTGTTTTCTGACTTACGTTTATATGCTCCTGCAATCCCTGACTGAGTCAGGCATCTCTGCAGCTCATCAGCATCTATCTGTCCATCCTTTGGAAAACAAAGGCATATTAGCTAGAGTTTAGTCCCCTCTTCCAGTTTGGTTATTCCTACTACCCACTCCATTTTCAGTGGCATTAAACCTGTATTCCTTATAAAACAGAACTGATTGCCCGGCTCTGACACACAACTCAAACTGCCTCTAACTAACCTCTGTTTCTAACAATGTTTCCTTGCATGCTTCAACCTAGCAACTTTATGCAATCCTATGCACTCAAAAACAATCATGATTGGCCACACATTTACTCTACACTTATTTGCATAAAAAAAAATGGGAGCATCTAGGGGAAAGTTAAGTGCACAGAAACCAAAGCATAAAATCTACTACAGAAACTCAACTCTGCTCTAAGCACCAATTTCAAGTTAATAGGTGTTACTTTCACTTTATATTAAAAGGTTTAGGATCTCATTCTGTGGCAGGAAACCTGCAAGACAGATCACACATACCTGCCTCCCAAGTCAGAGTTATGATCAACAAATTTTAGGAAGGATTGTTCAGGAATAGTAAACTGCTATGCAAATACATGTAAGCAGAAAATAAAGAATTCCGAATGGAAGAGAAACATATACATATATATATATGCATATATGTATATATAATATATATGCGCAATTTTGCAATGATTCCCTTGCAAAGCACCTCTCCGTGTCAGAGAAAACAACTGCYAAGTCATGGAAGGAATGAGCTGCCAAAGGTGGAGTTCAAATCCTGGGTCACACTCCTCCCACCCACGACATGAACTTCAGTTCACAGAGAGTTCGAGTATAATTTAACCTGGTTCAAAGATGGTTATATGCCTGTATAATTCAAATTAATTCAAAAGAGTAATGGCTAGAACAGAAAGCATAACACAAATGCAGTCTTCCTAAACTGAGAATTTAAACCTCAGCTACGTCTGCTAGATTTAAACCTTTACATTGTGGTTACGTGTAGATCAGATACCTGGTCCAGAAGCACAGTTTTAGATTTGGGGGCTTCCTATAAGTGTGCAATAAATGGCTGTGTTAAATAAATAATAAAAGTAATAAATAATAAATGTGTACTGCTGGCAGGGACAGAACCTCTAGATCAATAAATTCAATCCATTCACAAGCTTTGTAATGCACTTCAAGAAACACTTATTCCTAGATACGTGCGTAATCATATAGAAACAATACATGACACAACATTACAAGAAACAAAATATAGTGAGAAATAGGAGAAGAAAAAAAAAACAAAGAGAGGGCTAGAGTTGCACGTGCCCTCTTCTCTGAGAAAATATCCRCCCTACCTAACATGCAAACACAGATATCAGCACCACTGAAGATTGCTTTCCCACCTGCGAGTTCATCGTGCCCCTTCATCACAGGAGCATGCCTTTCCTATCAGTTTGTCCTGCCCACAGCAAGGCCATCTCCACACCTGATGCTTCCAGGAGGCTCCTGGCTTCTTTTTCCTAAAGCTGATGGCATTCCCTAACCAAGGACTGAACCAAAATGCAAGCATACACTTCCTGTATAGTAACTATGCTTACCTTGCTAGCAATGCTAACTAGCTCTTCTACAGAGAAGCACACACTTTAGTAGAAGGACTAAGTAAAACACATCTACCTTTTTTGTTTATAGCATTTTTTTGAAAAAGATTTCTCCCTAACTACTGACATTGGGCAGTGCTCTCCCCAAAAGCTAAGGCAGAAATCATTCCCGGGACAAGTGAGGAATCTTTGCAAGGCTTACCGGCCCGGCTACCGCAGTGAAGCTGGCATACATGGGATCCTGAGCTTGGCCTGGGAACGCCGGTCCTCCTGGAGCTGCTCCGTACTGCAGAAACCAAGCAGAAGGGAATTAAATATAAACATATGATTCAGTTAACTGCCAAAAGAAAAAAATAAACTGCAATGTTTCTACTTGAGAATTAATCTGCAGTTTTATACACACGTGTAAAAGTCATATTAACCAAAAAAAGGCTTTTTTTTTCTCCCTTCTTTTTAAGAAGAACCCGCTCTTGGTACACCCACCTTTTACAGCCTAAGCACATCAGTGTCACACACTACAGTGGGTCACTCTGTACCTCAAGGCTAACTCCGCAGKCACAGCCTGTTTCTAAGGCCCTGCAGCAGCAGCGTCTTTGCAGTCAAGAAAGCAAAACGGATCTCTAGATCTCTAGGAAAGGTTTTTTTTTTTTTTTTTCAGAGCATTGATTTTTACCAGAAAGCAACGGTAGGACAGGAGCGAGTCCCGCTCGGGATGGGCGGCGCTTACAGCCACGGCACGGAACGCGCTTTGCCGCTTGTTTTAATCTGCACCTATTGTCGGGCCAGGCTGCGGTGCCCGGCAGGCACCGGAACAGCCGGGCCCGGCCGGTGGCGGAAGCCTAAGCCTAAAACTGAGCCTGAGCCTGGCCCCAGCTTCCCGCTACTCCCGCCCGCTCGCTCGCGCCGCCCCGGTAGCGCCCGACACCTGCCTGCCCCGGGTACGCCATGCTGCTCCGCGCCGACCCGTGCCCGCAGTGCCGCGCRCCCAGCGCCCGCGCCCAACAACTAGGCCTGCCGGGGGGCGGAGCGGGGCGGGCGGCCGCCCAAGCGCCGCCTTTCCGCGCCCCGGGYCTCGCCTCCGGCTCCGTCAGCCTCGCGGCTCCCTCGCGGCCATGACGGTGGTGGCGCCGCTGCGAGCGCCCCTGGGTGCGCTTCATCTGTGCGCCATATAGCCTGTGTATACACATACTGTGCTACGTACAGTAATACCCGGGCAAGAGGCTGCTCTAGTTAAAGTATGGGAGTAGGGGTAAAATGCCTGAGCTGGAAGGACTGGAAATAAATGTCAATGAATGAAAGTGCTAAAGTAGGGGACAAACTCCTCTCAGTGGTGGCCAGTGAGAGAGCAAGGAGTAATGAGTATACATTAAAAACACAGGCAGTTCCATCTCCATGTGAGCAGGAACTTCTCTCCTKTGAGGGTGACAGAGCYCTGGCACAGGCTGCCCAGGGAGGCTGTGGAGYCTCCTTCTCTGGAGATCTTCYAAAGCCGCCTGGATGCCGCCCTGTGCCCCGTGCTCTGGGTGTCCCTGCTGGACTAGGTGATCTCCAGAGGCCCCTTCCAACCTCAACCAGTCTGTGATTCTAAGAGTTGTAGAGAGGTTAGTGAAAATGTGAAATCTGATATGCACGTATAGCAAATACCTCATCAAGACAGTAGGAAAGCATTTTTAACAACATTAGTTGGAATAAACCTATCAGATASAGACCAGCTGCTAGATGAAGGTATAGATGAACTGTATAAGCTGCATAGAAAAAGAGTGGTGTTTCACACCTACTTCTTTTCTGTACATAAACACAACAGGAATATCCAGTCACCATCCCATTGCAGTGCTTCGAGTGACGCTATCAGGAATRGGCATTGCACTTGGGAGTTAATGTTTGCAAGATCGTCCAAATTCGACAACACRCGAAGAAAGGAAGTGGCAGGCAGATAAAACGAAGTAATGTACTTTATATGGTTTGCTGGCTGGGTGTTTTGTTTGCATTAGCGCATTTATTTTTTCCTGTATTCTTCTGGGCTTGTCCTGCAAGAGGCTGTTCGAGATCAACCAATATTCTTCTGAAGGGCTCCTGGCCTGTGGAAACTTTTATGCTACAGATAAAAAACTGTTAGAAATACCCTGGTATGAGACCTGTGCGAGCTAAGCGGGCACAGGCTGCGCAAAAAAACGGCAGGAATAGTCCCTCTGGTGGAAGACTGAGCTCAAGCAGCGCAGCACATCTGCACTGCTGCCCTGCTAGATAAAGTAGGGCATTTTCCCAAGAACTGACCTAAGCAAAATAATTTTCCCTAGAAAATTCAAATTATGTATGCAGTTTACATTCCAAAACTTTTGCTGGATTATTCTTAATAGAGTGTCAAGAAGGAGTTCCAAGCCAAGTTACAGTAATGGCATTATTATCTTTAAGCTCAATCACAAGTCACACTGATTTTATTTACCATATTTCCTCAGGGTGAACAAACACTAGCATAACTGCAGTGTACGTCACATACCTTTTGCTTTCCTTGCTGTGCCTCACCAGTGAATTAAGTAACTAGCAAGTGTGATAGGTTTAAATCTGATGTGAGCTTAGACATGACATATAAATTCAGCCACCCYGAGCCAAAAGCCTTAACCTCACAGTATTGCTACTTCCCATCTGGTTTAGCTGCATGCTGAAGCTTCAAACTTTCCTGGCAAAACGGATATGGAATTTGTCCTTCCCAGAAGCGCAATAAAAGTAGCTAGGGAGGTGAAAGGGAATTAAMGGGTAAAGTTCAAATTTGCTGACATGTTTACTTATGAGAGGATAAAACTTGAAAATAAGTACGTTTCTTGAAGAAAAAAAAAAATCTCACTAAATTGCCACAGCTTGAGATGCAAATTCAWGCAGTGATGTAATGGTTAATTAAAAAGCTAAATATGGTACTGAGCAAAAGATATTAAAGTAGAAGTGCCTGCTAAACTTGCAGACAGAGCAAAGACAGAATACACAGTCTTTAGAATATGCAGCCTTCAGTTTCTCTCTTAGAATAGGCACTTGAAAACACTGTTTTTTTCCCCCACAGAACTCCTACCTCACTYGGTGCCTGAATGAAGGCTGTCCCACTTAGTCTGCTGTTTTTACTCTTCCTTGACGCCAGTCCTCCTTGTTATGTTTATGGCATATTATTTATACTCTGCTCTTCAGACMCTTATTTCTCACAAGGATTTTCTGTGACACTAATCACTATCATAGGGATTTTTTTTTTTTTGAATAGTCATCACATAATGCATCTGTAAAGGTGAGGGGCTGGGCATTTCTGTCACTTTATTGGTAAAGAGARTAATAGAGATTTAACGTTTCTGTAATTTTTAATGGTTCTTTTTGAGCCACTATGTATTTTCTCCAACTCCATGTGACTTCTGGTCTCAGTTTTCCTTCCCAACTCCCAGTTCCAGCCTCTCTAGCAGGTGGTTATGTGTGAAGACTCCCTCTGTCCRTATCCCTTTTCTGGTTCACTTCTGTGTGCACTATTGTGGGACTCTCTGGGCATCAGCAAGAGCATCCCTGAAAGACTAAGGCAAACCTTAATAACCTTAACTGTCGTTGGTGCTGTTATTGAGGTTTTGATATTGCCATAATTTATACATCTAAAAATCAGGTTTTAATTATACTATAAAATAGCACAACACATTGATTTCATTATAAATTGTGCATTCTGCATATACGAGCTCTTCATAGAATTAAAACTTAGAAGTAGTTTTTCAGTAACAAAATTATAAGATAAAGTCACTTGCAGTTTGATGACTTCCAACATTATCTTTAACTACRGGTTTAATCAAGGTATTAAAATATCTAAAGATAATTCTGATACATGCCTGTAACTATGAAAAGACATTTAAAATTCTACTTACTTGGAATATCACTTCACATATGATCTGTACTTCTTTATTACTTACTCTATTTCAAAACCTTCGATTTTTGAAAAATTGGATAATAAAAGCAGAGCTCAATGAGCCCTGCAAGCTCCCTAAATCCTTCAGCTGCATAACACAGGGTCACAATCCACATCTGCTCTGTTTTACCAAACAGAAGCAATGAATGAAAAGCAGCTGTGTATAAATGATGGCAACTCAGAGCAAGCTCAGCTGTGGGGAGCCTGATCCCCCCTTGTACAGCCCTTGTTGCAATTGTGTGTATCAGCATGCATGCTCTGATGTGGGAATATATTTTCTGGAATGGTAGAACTCAGATTGTATTTTTTTCCTTAAGTGCAGAGCAGGAATGCAGTGCCCTGCTGCTGCACAGGCTGCTGTGGGTGTCTGGCATGTGGGGAAATCCCTGTCTGCAGAGCTGGCGTTGACCAAAGAGCCGCGCGGCGCCCTGGGGACAAGTCACCCGCCTGGCCGCCAGCTCTCCCCACGCGGATGTTTTGATACCGGTTCTGCTGCTACGCGGGGTGTGTGTCGAAAGTTCCCCAAATATTGCAGAATACATCCCCAAGCAGCCAACACATGATGCGTTTACGGTTCCTACCACAAAAAGTTACCATATTAAGCTTTAAAGGAGAACACATTCTTCCCTCTGATGTGGCTTTTGTATTTTTTTTTATATTTTCATTTTTTTTTTTATATTTATACTCGCTACTCATGTGTGAATAGGCCGATATTTTTTCCCTCGTGGCTCGTGTTAGCCTCCCTGCTCCTTCTGTTTTGTAACCACCTCTCCTGAGCTGCCAAGCGTTTCAGGAAGGAGCCTGATGCTTCCCGAGCGGCGCCCACCAGGTGTCACACGAGGACCTTCAACACAGACACATCCACGCGCCCTCCATGGCCTGCTAACCCGTGCGAGCTGTTCTTTAGGCCTAACTTTTTTTATGTAGTTACCTAACAGGCGTTTAGAAGTTTATGTCTAGGTTCTTCTATTGGATTTTTTTTTTTTAAGCAAAGATCAGTAGCAAAGCAATCAGTTGGTGGCAACTGATACTTTAAAAAAAGGCACTCTTAAGCTAGGAGCTGCTGTCTGATGTCAGTCTTGGCAATGCCCGTCCCTGGAAGTGCCCCTGTGACCGGCTTCCCTTGGAAGCCAGCAGAGCTGTGAGCAACCAGTGTGTCTCTGTGCCCCTCTGGCTTGGGATATACAACTTGTCTCTCTAAGGAGTCAGGGATGTTCCTCTCCTCTTTGCTTTCTACTTTCATCTTGTATCTTTGTTAATTTTGGCATTTTTGGTCGCCTTTAATATTAGCTAGTATCCATGCTAGTATCCATTAAGACCTTCTGAGGATTTAGCTTTAACAGAATTTCTCCAAATTGAAGATCAAAACCTATAAAAGCATTAATGAGAAAAGTAAAGAGCAAAAAAAAAAAAAAAAAAAACCCACACCACCACCACCAACAAAACCTAAAAGCCACAATCTAATAAAATCACGAACATGGGCCTGTTCTCAGGGCGGAGCCAGCTCCTTAGCAGTTCTGATGCTCAGGGCAGGTAAGATGTGGCCAGCCGTGCCTGCGATGTGAGGAGCTGCGATGTGAGGAGCCCAGTTCACCGCTGGTGGTGGCCCTGGGCGCTCCCTGYGCAGCCCTGTTGTGCTCAGCGGCCTGTGGCGCTGCGAAGGCTGGAGCAGTGAGTTCCAGTGAAGCTCTGGGAAGCTCTTTGCCAGAAACCGGCTTGGGGGGAAGATCTGCCTTCATGGTTGTTAAAGAAAGGCCATTATATTTTCTATATGAAAAGTTAATAAGTCTGTTTCTTCTGGAAGTTTGCTTTCTTTAGGAGGAGACCAGAGGTGTGTGTGTGGGGGGCAATGAATGTTGATTGAATGTTTATAATTAAAAAAAAAAAAAAACAAAAAGGAAATTTCATCTCCATATGAGGAGGAACTTCTYTCCTGTGAGGGTGACAGAGCCCTGGCACAGGCTGCCCAGGGAGGCTGTGGAGTCTCCTTCTCTGGAGATCTTCCAAAGCCGCCTGGATGCCGCCCTGTGCCCCGTGCTCTGGGTGTGCCTGCTGGAGCAGGGAGTTGGACTGGATGATCCCTGGAGGTCCCTTCCAACCTCAACCTGTCTGTGGTGCTGTGCATCTGTGATTTCCTTTCTCGCATGAAGTCTATTAATAAAAYCAATCAGGAGGCAACTCTCTAATTCATTGACCTCTTCCTGTCTGGAATAATGTGCGGAATTATACTGGGGG